AAATCCTAGACTGTCAGTGACTGGGAGAGAGATGGGGCAGCTGTCTTCACAGCTCGGCAGCAGGATGAGAGTAGTGATCAAAGAGAGGCTAGTGGAGAATATATTAAAATAAAGGGGGTGGGGGAGGGGGTGTCTTAGGGCACGGAGGGGGTGGAGTTGAGGAGACTGGAGAGTGAGCGAGGTTGGGGTAGTGTGACAAATAAGGCCGTGAAGGAGTGGACGTGTGGAAAACGAGGCATGCTGCTTGTGCTCGGGGGATTGCCTGCAGCCAGATACAGTATGTGCACAAGTCTCAGTGCAGACACAAGTTTTAATGACCAAAACTCAACTTCAGGACAGAAAACATTCACAGATAACAATGTGTTCTTATCTATACATGAAGAGTATGCCGTTCATAGGTGCAGATTGCAGTACTTGCTTAGGACACTCTGTCAGTGCACAGGTTGAAATGTACAGGTTGAAGTGCCTGAACTCAAAAGTTACCACCTCGACTCAAAACCAACTGATAATAATTTTGTGAAACAGTTTTTCTGACTGTAGTTCTTGTGAGAGTAGGGAACAGCTGGAAGACAGTGGCTGCTGTAGGACAAAGATGCTTTAGTTTGTCAAGAGAGAGCCATGAAAACCATGAAACACTACAACGGGTGTATTTCTACTACTGTTTGGACTGGATCTGATCCCGAGTTTTTCTCCTGGGGCGGATCCAGTCGAAGGTCGGTCCATTTTTAACTCAAATGCTAATAATGAGTGAGAAACGTCCACCTTGACTTACCTTGGAAGAGGCTGTAAAGGTTTGTGAAAGGGCTCCGATACAGGTCAGGGAGTCAGAGATCACTCCTGTGTACAGTGACGTCTGTACTGAGATGATGTGGGTAAGCGCTGCTGTTAGCCTCTGTTAGCTGCTGTTAGTCTCTGTTAGCCTCTGTTAGCTGCTGTTAGCCTCTGTTAGCTGCTGTTAGCGTCTGTTAGCGGCTGTTAGCTGCTGTTAGCCTCTGTTAGCTGCTGTTAGCTTCTGTTAGCGGCTGTTAGCTGCTGTTAGCCTCTGTTAGCTGCTGTTAGCCTCTGTTAGCTGCTGTTAGCCTCTGTTAGTGAAACTGCCTTTGAAATCGATGCAACTTTGTTGGACTGTTTAGTGAATAAACTCATGTAATGTGTAATCAAACTGTCTATCAGAGGTAAAGCGAGATTTTTAGGACACTTGCACCTAACTAACATTAGCCTATAATCAGCTGTTGCTGTTGTTTAGCCAGCTTGTTGTCAGCTGTCTAGAGATGGATGGACTGTGTGTCTAATCTACTGACAGTTATCGTAGATTAGTCAAGCAGTATTGCAGATTGTGGCAATACTGTTAATAAATGAGAATGTTTATGAGGAGATGAGGATGACACTTTATTGTCAGTGGTGTTGTCTCTGTTCTTCACACATTCATTTCTTTCATGATGGGGAGCCCTTGATAAAACATAGGTACAATCCTTCACATCTTAAGTCGGGAGGTGCAGCTATGAATTTTATGGCCCTCTGGAGCACATACATACCTACAAGTTCTCTTCTCCTCCACTGGTGTCTAGCCACATATATTAGATGTCAGGAGTGGGAAGGGAGGTGTCTCTCCTGGGCACTATATTAAAATATAGTGGGGGCACATGTCAGCTTCCATAAACCTGCTCCTGTTAATCAATAATACGTTTATGAGAATGCATTAGTTTGTTGGAATATGTATTTACACACTATTTTATTTGTTTATTGTTTATTCATAAGTACAGTATCCAGTATCTACTGACTGACTGCTGCATTTTGTTAACGTTACATTTATCATCATGAATCAGAAAACGAATGAATCGAGAGCAAGTTTATATGATGAGGCAGAGTGTGTTGTTGCAGTGGCTCCAAAACCCAAACAGTCTGCCGTGTTCCCGTAACATCCTCTGGTCTTTGTCAAGGATGTTTTTATCCTGCTCAATAATGGATGAACCTGAGCCACAGAGAGGGAGAGAGATCCTCCTCTGGAGCAACGCTGCAGCACTTGTTTTCACTAATGCTTCGGAGTACTCTCAGGCCTGGCCCTCCTCTGTGAAAAGCTGTGTACTTTGATCTAAAACAAAAGGAGTTTATTTTGATAATCTCTTTCAAAGTATCGTAATAAACACCATTTTTCATCCTTCATTTCTTGGTGTTTTCCCCTCATTTGTTCATGTGGAGGGAAAAGACATTAATTAGTTACATTTCAGTTCACAAATGCAAACCGAGGCTTTAAGTCCCGTCTTCTTTTAGAAGCCTACAGATTGACCCTACACTGATCAGGCATAACATCATGACTGCTGACAGATGGTGACATGATGCCTGTTAGTTGGTGGGATATATCAGGGGGGAAGTGAACATTTTGTCCTCAAAGTTTACGTGCTAGAAGCAGGAACACGTATATACTATATATATATAATGTTCTTCCTCTACCCCCCCTTCCCCCATTTTTACATTTTTACATTTCACTTATTTATGTTATGTTATGTTGTTATGCTTGTATAACTATGCATGCGACAAATAAAGAACCTTGAACCTTGGAATAATTGGCAAGCTTCAGGATTTGAGGGAGTTTGACAAGAGCTGAATTGTGATAGCGAGATGACCGGGTCAGAGGATCTCCAAAACAGGCAGTGTGATGCTTTGGTCAATGTTCTGCCGGGAAGCCTGGGGTCCTACTGATGTGGATGTTACTATGACACGTACCACCTACCTAAGCATTGTTGCAGACCATGTGCACCCTTTCATGGAAACAATATTGCCTTATGGATGTGGCCTCTTTCAGCAAAGCAAAAAGGGTTCAGGAAGGGTTTGAGGAGCACAACAATGAGCTTGAGGTGTTAAAAACAAGTCCGATCCATGGAGGCCCCAACTTGCAACTTACAGGACAAGACAATCTTTCGCTAAACTCTTGGTACCAGACAGCACAGCACACCTACAGGGGTCTGAAGGAATCGTTTTTTGTTTGTTAAACCACTTAGAAATAATCTATGAATTATTCAAGTAAAACTACATCAATTCCCTTAAAATAATAAAAAATAAAAAATAATAATAATAATATGGGAAAACTGGATATTAGAGTTAATTTCCCTAAGAAACAGGAACAAATTCTTACACAGGACCTGAATTAGAATTAGATTTTGCTTCAAATCATCAGTATATATGGAGGAAGTCAGGACTGAGGTACAGCAGTGAGTGCTACAGCCATCTGTGAAACATGGTGGAGGCTCTGTCACGGTGCTCGTTGAAATCAATGAAAGTTTGAACAAACACCGTGTAATACCATCAGGAGCATCTGATCCAGACCAAAGGAACATAAATGTTGCTGACCAGATGAAGCCACACATCAAAACACCATTTTAATGCACTTTATTTTTGTGACTTTTTTAAAGAGAATATTAACACACTGAAAACGCATTGATAAAAGAACCTTTGGGAACAAATGAAAACTTCAAATCAGACAAGCTAACGTGTGTCTTCAGCAGCCGTACAGCAGGTTGATCCTCCTGATGTCCCAGGAGGACATGCCCTGCCTCTGGCCAATCTGGACGTTGGGGTTGGGGATGGGGGTGATGGTTTCCCTGCCATTGATGGAGAAGGCTGTTCT